ACGATAGAAAGGAGACGGCACGAATCAGGCAAAACGTAAAGCCTACGCTCGAATAACGCGACGACTACGGCCCATCGACGATCTCTCAATGCATTGACGTTGGCTGGGATCATTGGCGAATGACTCGTGAACACGGTTTGTTCACAAAATAGAACACGGAAGCGATGTGAACGTGGAATGTCCACGATGAGCACCGCCAACGGGCATGAGCGCCGACTCGTTGTGCGCCAGACAGATTCTCCGCATTTTTTGACTTGTTTGTGAATAAATAAAAAAAATGAAATTGACGTGTGGGGGAAAAAATTGCCATTCTCAGGGGGCCCATTAGAAATGCAGTGGGCTGCATGGTTCGGAATGTGCGGAGAGTTTATTGGGAGTAAGTGTGCGAATGGTTACCGTGCTAAAAATAACTTGTTTTTTTTTTAGAACTATTGTTATTGTGGTACGCAGAGAACATTCCTTTTGTTGCTATGGAATGTTTTTTTTACTGCCTGTCATACAATCTCTGAGTGAGAATGCTCCGTTAAAGTAAACCGTACCAGTAACCAGGCGAGGCTAATTCCCACACTAGCACGGCCGAGTGTGTTGGAGTGCGTTGGTGCCCGTCTCGAATGCGGCGATGTAGGGGTGAGAGTTGGTGGATCATGAGAAGATGGGAGACACCTTACACGACTGTAAGGGGTAGTAGAGACAATATATTTGTTTTATTTCTGAAAAGTTTGAGTGCTCCCCACGCCAAGAGTTTTCTCCCGGCACTCCAGTTTCTTTAATTGTGCAAAATACACTCGATGGAACGAAGTCAAAAACCCCAACACAAGATGAGTCTTGTGATTACGTGATGTGTTCCTTGGTAAATCACTTATTTCGATGTGTCTCTACAAGTATCTGGAAACACACAGCATTACTTTCAAATTAATATTATATCTATCCATATTTTCTGTTGCTTTCACGCACAAGTTATATTCCATTTCAGCTATCCGCATAATGCCACAAGTCAACATTATTCAGAACACTTTCAGCCAGCAGTGAACCACCCTGAGTCAAAGGCTTGTGCTCAAGACATTTTTTTCACATTTAAGCAACTTTGTGATGATTTTCTGCAGAAATTGTGCCATTTTACACACACACACACTCTGGGACCCCCTCCATGGAAATGTGGAATTTCCACCTGTGGCTCCTCGGGGACATCTATGGAAGTGAGCACCGCCACATCTCTCATTTGATTAGAGAGATGCGATCACTTCACGTTTTACTTTCTTAAACAGGGCTGCGCTTGCCAAAACAACAAAAATGTATTCGGCCGATTCGTGTTCGACGAGACTTGCAAAAAACCCCCAGCACGGAAAACACCATGTGCTTATTTGCCATGCTGGACGAAGACGGGTACGCACCATTTGCCCCGTGTTTATATATATGTTGAAACCATTTTTTCTGGTCTCTTTTAAATACTTCCAAAAAGAGTGCCACACAAGTTTTGTGGAACACTGTGCCAAATCCCCTCGGCCCTCCACCCTTCCAACCTCCACCCCACCACCACCACCCGCTTACAAATGCCACTGCTGATGTCTCCCGCGTGCTTGGCCAAGTGCTCATGGGAGTCTTCAGACACACCGCCGCGTGCTTCAAGCCGAACGTTGTAACCTCCTTGTCACTAATTGTCAGGTAATGTAGCTTGAAAAGTGCCAGAGCGCGTTTGTTTTTTTTGCTTTGCGCGCGCCAAAGCGAAAGCACGAGGAATGTGCCACGCAAAATAGCGTAGAGCTCCTAACGGGCCGATATAGATGCACATGGTGACGTTAGTTTAGATATCCGATGCTTTTCTTTTTCCACTGTGCCCTACCTCCACGGTATTGTCATTTTAATCGATTCCTACACCCACTCCTTGAAATGGAGACCAGAGGCTTTATTTTGATTGTATCGGTTGCATGCCTGATCGGAAATACACGTACAGTGAGGGAAAAAAGTATTAGATCTCCTGCTGATTTTGTACGTTTGCCCACTGACAAAGACATGATTAGTCTTATTAAAATGCAAATCAATTCATTACATTTTTCACATGCGTTTTTCTGGATTTTTTTGTTGTTATTCTGTCTCTCACTGTTCAAATAAACCTACCATTAAAATTATAGACTGATCATTTCTTTGTCAGTGGGCAAACATACAAAATCAGCAGGGGATCAAATACTTTTTCCCTCACTGTATCGTGTTGCTATAGTTATAGATGTGTATTTTAAAAACAAATTCTAGTGTCGCAGACAGTATGGGAATCACCGATAAAGATAGAACGTTTTATTATTATTTATTTTAATTGTAGATGTGCGTTTACTCTCCAACACACCGGTGTGCTGAACTAGTAATGAATTGGCATGTTTGGTTTACGTGACAAACCTTACTAGTTGGCTGTGTCGGGTGGGTGGCAGGTTTAACAGCACATTTAGATTCACGTGATCTAACATAAAATCCTCTATTATGGATTTCTTCTTCTTAATTGTATATATATTAAATTCTGCATTCTTAAATATATGTAATTGTTCGTTGTTATAGCGATAAGGCAAAAAAAAAATCTATGTCCTTGCCCAATCGTGACCCAGCCTGCCTCAAAAACTCAATCCGTAACGACTCTACGCTTGCCATATGTACCGTATCTGAACAGTTTATAGCTGAATTTAAAACTCAATTGTTGCATATTAATCATGAATAATACGTTAAATTCCTTGGTCAATCCACTTTTGGATGAATGAAGGCATCGACACACCATGTCAGTCATAGTGGTTGCGTGTCCCATACTTTACCGCACTGGTCAGTGTGGTGGGTTAAACTGATTCAGATATCACTCCTCGTCACTGATGTGAGCAAGGCAGACAGATTAACAGCAGTGCGCGCCACCGCTCCGGACTATCATTACACCAGGTGCAGTCATTCTCACCAGTGAGAATGGTACACTTATGAATTTTAAATGTTCATAAATGTACAGGACAATATAATGAAAATAATAATAATCAAGTGCTTTAAAAGGGTGGAGAATGCCTTTTACTAAACATTACTGTTTGCTCATTAAAACACAAGTAAAACAGGAAGAATAGGTCCCCGTGAAAATACTTTGTAAAAATTAAGATAAGTATTGTAATCTCTAATCGTGCGGTGCTCTGAGAGAGGGCTCGGTTCAGAATCAGAAGTAAAGCCCATTAAGCTAAGCTCTCTTTCAAGGGCGACACGGCAGGCAGACACCATCAAAGCATTCCACGATTGGACCGCTTGCAAGTTCCATTCCCAGCAGCGGTTCAACTAATCATCAACTACCCAGTCAATTTAATAAACACGAAAATCAATTTGTGGGCATGCCGCTGGCTGTTTTGCCCTATTCCGACTGGCCACAGGTACAGTGAGGGAAAAAAAGTATTTGATCCCCTGCTGATTTTGTACGTTTGCCCACTGACTAAGAAATGATCAGTCTATCATTTTAATGGTAGGTTTATTTGAACAGTGAGAGACAGAATAACAACAAAAAAATCCAGAAAAACGAATGTCAAAAATGTTATAAATTGATTTGCATTTTAATGAGGGAAATAAGTATTTGACCCCTCTGCAAAACATGACTTAGTACTTGGTGGCAAAAACCCTTGTTGGCAATCACAGAGGTCAGACGTTTCTCGTAGTTGGCCACCAGGTTTGCACACATCTCAGGAGGGATTCTGTCGCACTCCTCTTTGCAGATCTTCTCCAAGTCATTAAGGTTTCGAGGCTGACGTTTGGCAACTCGAACCTTCAGCTCCCTCCACATATTTTCTATGGGATTAAGGTCTGGAAACTGGCTAGGCCACTCCAGGACCTGAATGTGCTTCTTCTTGAGCCACTCCTTTGTTGCCTTGGCCGTGTGTTTTGGGTCATTATCATGCTGGAATACCCATCCACGACCCATTTTCAATGCCCTGGCTGAGGGAAGGAGGTTCTCACCCAAGATTTGACGGTACATGGCCCCGTCCATCGTCCCTTTGATGCGGTGAAGTTATCCTGTCCCCTTAGCAGAAAAACACCCCCAAAGCATAATGTTTCCACCTCCATGTTTGACGGTGGCGATGGTGTTCTTGGGGTCATAGACAGAATTCCTCTTCCTCCAAACACGGCAAGTTGAGTTGATGCCAAAGAGCTCCATTTTGGTCTCATCTGACCACAACACTTTCACCCAGTTGTCCTCTGAATCATTCAGATGTTCATTGGCAAACTTCAGACGGGCATGTATATGTGCTTTCTTGAGCAGGGGGACCTTGCGGGCGCTGCAGGATTTCAGTCCTTCACGGCGTAGTGTGTTACTAATTGTTTTCTTGGTGACTATGGTCCCAGCTGCCTTGAGATCATTGACAAGATCCTCCCGTCTAGTTCTGGGCTGATTCCTCACCGTTCTCATGATCATTGCAACTCCACGAGGTGAGATCTTGCATGGAGCCCCAGGCCGAGGGAGATTGACAGTTCTTTTGTGTTTCTTCTATTTGTGAATAATCACACCAACTGTTGTCACCTCACTAAGCTGCTTGGCAATGGTCTTGTAGCCCATTCCAGCCTTGTGTAGGTCTACAATCTTGTCCCTGACATCCTTGGAGAGCTCTTTGGTCTTGGCCATGGTGGAGAGTTTAGGAATCTGATTGATTGATTGCTTCAGTAGGACAGGCGTCTTTTATACAGGTAACAAGCTGAGATTAGGAGCACTCCCTTTAAGAGTGTGCTCCTAATCTCAGCTCGTTACCTGTATAAAAGACACCTGGGAGCCAGAAATCTTTCTGATTGAGAGCGGGTCAAATACTCATTTCCCTCATTAAAATGGAAATCAATATATAACATTTTGGAAATTATAGACTGATCATTTCTCCGTCAGTAGGGCAAACGTACAAAATCAGCAGGGGATCAAATACTTTTTTTTTCCCCATCAATGTATAGGGAGTGTGGAACTTCCACAAATGGGGGCGAGCGCAATGCGACATTTAATTTGAGCAGTGGCACCTTACCAATGTAGATGAGCAGGGACGTCCGCTTGTCGGTGCCCGCGGCGTTGCTGGCCAGACAGCCGTACGTGCCGGCGTCGCGCCGCACCGTGTCTCTGATTGTCAGGGAGCCCTCCTGGTCCACCATGTGCCTGGGAGCACAGGCGGGAGACACAGAGGGGTTGCCGGCATGCACGTGGCTGATCCACCCGCACAGAGTGTTTGAGCGTGCGTCCCTCTGTTCCCCCATTTACGTTCACATGCAGTGATATACAGGACAGGAAGGTCTCGGGTTTATGACGATCCACATTTACGGCGTTTATATTACGCCACCGCGGATCGATTTTACAACGCTGAAAATTAGATTTACGATGCATCTTCCGACATGACTCTGAACACACTTGAACGTAGCGGGTCTGGTTTCCGATGCGACTTGGCGTGGAGCTTTTGCTATTCTCAAGTGTTTTGTGTGTGGATGTATTATTATTACATTAATTATGACTGATAAAAGGAACAACACATCTGCAAGTGATGTTTCTACTTTTTCTACTGTATATGGGAAAATAAGGTCCGATTTAAGACGGGGTTTCCAGGAACGCATTGTCGTAAATCGGGGACCGCCTGTACTAAAAAAAAAACAGGAACCAGGTTAATCTCCCAATAAGAAACGACTTGGCTGAGCGACATTTCTGCATAGTGGCACCAATCATCTCGAACTCTCTCCCATCGCATACATGCAGAGTCCAAGCATCATCCACCTTCAAGCAGCAGCTCAAAGCTCTTATCCATCCAAGCTTTCACTTGTTGAGGAACTCACCTGTTAAGGATCTCACCTGTTCAGAGTCTTACCCGTCCAGGCTCTCACCTTTTCAGGTTCTCACCTGTCCAGGTGCTCACCTGTTCAGGTTCTCACCTGTTCAGGCTCTCACCTGTCCAGGCTCTCACCTGTTGAGGCTCTCACTTGTTGAGAAACTCACCTGTCCAGGTTCTCACCTGTCCAGGCTCTCACCTGTCCAGGCTCTCACCTGTCCAGGCTCTCACCTGTCCAGGCTCTCATCTGTCCAGGTTCTCACCTGTCCAGGCTCTCACCCATTCAGGCTCTCAACTGTTCAGGCTCTCACCTGTCCAGGCTCTCACCTGTCCAGGCTCTCACCTGTCCAGGCGCTCACCTGTCCAGGTTCTCACCTGTCCAGGCTCTCACCCGTTCAGGCTCTCAACTGTTCAGGCTCTCACCTGTCCAGGCTCTCAACTGTTCAGGATCTCACCTGTTCAGGATCTCACCTGTTCAGACTGTCATCTGTTCAGGCTCTCAACTGTTCAGGCTCTCACCTGTCCACACTCTCACCTGTTCAGGATCTCACCTGTCCAGGCTCTCACCTGTTCAGGCTCTCAACTGTTCAGGCTCTCACCTAACCAGGATCTCACCTGTTCAGGCTCTCACCTGTCCAGGCTCTCACCTGTTCAGACTCTCACCTGTTCAGATTCTCACCTGTTCAGGCTCTCACCTGTTCAGGATCTCACCTGTCCAGGCTCTCACCTGTTCAGGCTCTCAACTGTTCAGGCTCTCACCTGTTCAGATTCTCACCTGTTCAGACTCTCACCTGTTCAGGCTCTCACCTGTCCAGGCTCTCACCTGTTCAGGCTCTCACCTGTCCAGGCTCTTACCTGTGGCTCTGAGTTCTCAATCGAACATTGCGTCTGATTCATGAACTATGTGCGCGTTATTATAAACAGTATTTATTATTACTATCAATATTGAGAAGATCTTATGACAACTTGGGCATCAACAAGAGTTCGATTTTTTGAGATGTCATATAAATTGCTTGGCTTTTCGCATAACTGCAATCCATGAATTGCATGGAAGAATTAAAAGTCAAAAAGCAACATTATCTGACTGCTCAAATAAAAGCATTGTGGCAGCATTCCTCTCGGTGTGCGGCCATGAGCCAGCGCCAGTAGCAGCACAAAAACCTGCGATGGCGCGAGATTCCCGACAGGACAATCACAGCACATTGGCACCGACTTTATTCACCCTGGAGAGGGCTTAGGCTACGTCGAACCTTGTCCAAGATTTCAACTCTCAGCCTTGTGAATTATGAGTCGAGCGCTTGTGGCCACGGTGCGGTGGGAATGTGGAACTTCCACAACCGCCTCAGGGCTTCCATGAGAGGCGAGTTCTGCCCCACGCTTGATGGAGTGGGAGACACCTGGGCTCTCTTTTCTGATGATGATGATGATGTGGTTGGGTGACATCATTCAGAAGAAACCGCACTCCAAGCAAAACCTTTTCGGTTCGAGTGGACATTTCTCTGTGGTTAGACAGGAGGTGAAGGTAAAATGTGCTGTCTGGAGAATGACATCCCACCGCTGTGAGACAACGCTAGACCCAGAATCGGAAGGGCATGAGTCCAGATCCCGGTTGGCGGTTGCCTCCGCTGATCATCTTTCTGAGGCTGATAACAAAAAAAGGGCACCGTTGTGAGAAGAGACAGTGGTTGGCAAACGGAGCGACTGGCCCAGGAATGTGGACTTTCTACCACTCTCTCAGAGCTGCCAACAGAGATGAGTGCTCCTCCACACTGACATGAACATTGCCCTTTTGACTGAATGTGGCCGAACCATTCACTGAATTTACCACTTAACACAGCTAAACTATTCAAGGCACTTCTAAAAAAATACAAAAGAAAGAAGATCACTAACGTCGATGCTCGTTGCCTCACTGAGGTTCTGGGTGAAGCCTCACCTGCCCGTGTTCATGATGAACATCTCATTGTGAGGCCACACGATCCGTGGAGCCCGGAAGCCCGACACCTCACCTGCCCGTGTTCATGATGAACATCTCATTGTGAGTCCACACGATCCGTGGAGCCCGGAAGCCCGACACCTCACCTGCTCGTGTTCATGATGAACATCTCATTGTGAGTCCGCACGATCCGTGGAGCCCAGAAGCCTGACGCCTCACCTGCCCGTGTTCATGATGAACATCTCATTGTGAGGCCACACGATCCGTGGAGCCCGGAAGCCCGACACCTCACCTGCCCATGTTCATGATGAACATCTCATTGTGAGTCCACACGATCCGTGGAGCCCAGAAGCCCGACACCTCACCTGCCCGTGTTCATGATGAACATCTCATTGTGAGTCCACACGATCAGCGGAGCCGGGTAGCCCGATGCCGTGCAGCCGATGTGCACTTCGCCACCGGCGCGAAACGTCTGGTTGAGGGGCGACACCACCGCCCGCGGAGGCTCTGTCAAGAGGACGAGTGAGAGGAGAGAGCAAGGGGCAGAGGTCACATGTGAGTGAGCCGTGAATATAATTCACGCGGGTGTTCAAGTGATACATCCGTTTAACACGTAGGAGGCTTTCGCGACCAATATCATCCATAATAGAGGGTTTTGAGTTAGATCGCGTAAATATATAAATGTGTCGTTAAAACCCGCCACCACCCGACACAGCCAACTAGTAAGGGTTGTCACGTAAACAGAACATGCCAATTCGTCACTCGTACAGCACACCGGTGTGTTGGAGAGCCAAGCTACTCAGTTTGTAAATGTTGTGGCTTGGCTCTCCAACACACCGGTGTGCTGTATTAGTGATGAATTGGCCACGTTCTGTTTACGTGACAACCCTTACTAGTTGGTTGTGTCGGGTGGTTGCGGGTTTTAACGACACATTTATATATTTATGCTATCTAACCCAAAAACCTCTATCATGGATGATACATCCATGTCAATGTGTCCATGGCTGCTGCCATAGTTAGGTCATCCTCGTACAAAGCAGACACGAATAGACAGCTGGACTTGAATATGTAAATAAACAGATATCTAAAAGTCTAACATTTGGACTGTGTGGAATTTGGGCTGAGTTACTGAATCTGCCCTAATGGGTGCTCAATAATAACAACATCTTCCCAAAGTCATATCGAGATAAAAATGGGGCTCTGTGTGACGTTATTTTTAAGTGTAACTAAATGTGAATGGGCACGATGAGATTGATAGCATACTGATCATTTACTGCACATGAATCCTGGTGACACAGGTTCGATTCACGGTTGTACGGGACACGAGTGGTGATTGACACAGCTTCTGTTACTCTACGTCTACAAAGATTACCTGATGTGGCATTCAAAGTTAACATTCCAAGTTTATTTAGTAAAACCAGGTGAGAACTCAAGAGACCAGGATGAGCATCTACATCATTAGACCTCCTTTGCCAGTACCAAAATATAATAATAGTGGTTTTTCCCCTTTTTTCTGGCAACAAAACTGAAACCTTTTTACTAGGATTCATGTTACTGCATTAACCACAATAACTGCAGTCAAAATGCAAACAAAAAACATACTATGATAATATATGCATTGTCCTTGAAACTGATTGGTACACACCAAGGGACGGCTTTCTTTTGAGCCTCGACCCAATTGGTGCTCGACCAGATGACGCCAAAGACCTCCTTTGCCAGTACCAAAATATAATAATAGGGTTTTTCCCCTTTTTTCTGGCAACAAAACTGAAACCTTTTAACAGACATGAATCCTTGTAAAAAGGTTTCAGTTTTGTTGCCAGAAAAGAGGGGAAAACCCTCTTATTATTATTATTAGACCAGGATGAGTCTCATTTACAGCAGTGGCCTTGGCCACCAAAATGACAAAAGCAAAATAAAGCACAGAAATGAAAGCAAATATAAATCAGAGCAAAAACAAACCGTGCCAAACGAAAAATCTAAAATCCCTGTAGCACAACTTGGCTTGTGCAGATTATATTCAACTTCAAAACCCAGCACTTTATTCTGGGCGGCTAAATTGCATAGCACTTCATAAGAAGTTACCAGCGGTCATTGTACCCACCGCCATAGGTGCCATGGTGGCGAGATGTTAACTCCCTCGCCTCGTATGCAGGAGGTCGTGTGTTCGATCCCGACCCTGATGCTTGTATATTTGGAGTTTATATGTTCTCCCCGTGGTCGTGTAGATTTCTCTGCTGGTGCTCTGGTTCTTCCCTCAACATTTAGAAAAATGCATTTAGAGTATTTAGCTGCTATAAATGTCCACATGATAAGCTACTTCGTTGGGTAATTATTTTTGGCCAGGCCACTTTAGCGGGCCTTACCTGGTAAAACTATTTTTTGTTATTTAGTATTGGAATATTTTACCCCACTGTCTCAGGGCAACCAACAGAGAATGAGCCCAGCCGCGTGCTCATGAGAGAGAACGGAAAGAGACTTTGTCTTCACTTCGACTTTCAGCTGATTCCACGACCATGTTAAGTCAGTCACGGCATAAACAAGAAAAACTGATTTCCATCGTGTCAAAGCATTCACTGTTTCTATGCTCACCGCGACCATATCTACGCGAATGACATAAAAAAACAGCGATCTACTCGATGTTGCAACAACTAACACGGGCGCGTCGACGGAATCTCCACTCGAGAGCCGACCGCCCCGATCCCGCGAGAACGCCGCCGGTTCGCCGCCACCGCGTGGACGCACCCTGCACGACGAGCCACGCTGACGCGCTGGCGACGCCGCCCTCGTTGGCCGCCACGCACTCGTAGGCCCCGCCGTCCGCCAGCTGCACCGCGCGCACCTCCAGCGACTGGTTCGCCAGCACGCGCACGCGCGGCTCGGCGGCCGCGTCGCCGCCGCCGCGCGCCCACGTCAGGTTGTAGGGCACCGTGCTGAGCACGAGGCACGTGAGCACGGCGTGCTCGCCCGGCACCACCGTCACGTTGAGCGGCGCGCGGATCGTGGGCGGAGGCTCTGTTTGGGCGGGGTGGCGGAGGCGGGGGGGGGGGAGTTGGCAGCGAGGGGGTTCGCGGTCAATGTCAAGAGGTCGTTCGTCCCAGAGGATGCTGAAAAAAAAAACTCGACCTTCATTATTTTCTTCCTCCCTACGTCACTTCCTTCCTTCAGCTGACCGCAAGTGGCTTGCTCTTAACCGTGTCATCAGAACCGTCTGGCTTTAGGTTTATGTCTCGGTTGAAGACCACTGCTCGGTGACACTCCAATGCTTATCTCGGTAACCTGTCCTCCATCCTGTACACGTGCCCCACTCATCGTTCTCTTCTCATTTTCAAAATGTCTGTTTTGGCTTTATTTTAATGCTCTATTTCCCAATTGACAAGTCACCCACCAAATCCTGCCATGAAATTAGGAACATCCTGTGCATGTGTCTATGCCCGAAGGCCAGGAGCATGTTGCAAGTTGCTTGGTTGGAGCTCAGCTTGAGTAGCCGTCTCCAAAATCTCTTCACCTGCTAGTTGCCTCCAATTCCTCCCAAGCATCCTTCACTTCTCCAGCCATGCCAAGTCCACATGGCTATGGTAATGGCTATTGGACCTGAGCGAAACAGCTGTTTATATCTCATACAAAACGTACGTATATTTTAAAGTTATACAGGCCACTGTTTGAGAATTCTGTCCAGTCATCCAACTTGTTTCAGCAAAACGAACCGGTATTAGCCCAGTAAACGTTGAACATTGGACCAATGTTGGGCCAACGTTGGTCCAACGGCTCCATCCACATCCCAGGCTCGGCCCAATATTGGCACGATTATTGGAAATGCATCTTAAGGCCATAAACTTGATCATGGGCCATTTATGTGGTGAGATTCCGCAATACAAAGACATACACAATCAAGCATATTCAGCACATGTATTATGTAGACAATAATATATATCACATGTATTATTATGTAAACAATAATCTGTGTCATCCGGGAAAAGTATTTGATCCCCTGCTGATTTTGTACATTTGCCCACTGACAAAGAAATGATCAGTCTATCATTTTAATGGTAGGTTATTTGAATAGTGAGAGACAGAATAACAACAACAAAATCCAGAAAACGCATGTCAAAAATGTTATAAATTGATTTGCATTTTAATAAGGGAAATAAGTATTTGACCCCCTCTCAATGAGAAAGATTTCTGACTCCCAGGTGTCTTTTATACAGGTAACGATCTGAAATTAGGAGCACACTCTTAAAGGGAGTGCTCCTAATCTCAGCTTGTTACCTATATAAAAGACACCTGTCCACAGAAGCAATCAATCAATCAGATTCCAAACTCTCCACATTGGCCAAGACCAAAGAGCTCTCCAAGGATGTCAGGGACAAGATTGTAGACCTACACAAGGCTGGAATGGGCTACAAGACCATTGCCAAGCAGCTTGGTGAGAAGGTGACAACAGTTGGTGCAATTATTCGCAAATGGAAGAAACACAAAAGAACTGTCAATCTCCCTCGGCCTGGGGCTCCATGCAAGATCTCACCTCGTGGAGTTGCAATGATAATGAGAACGGTGAGGAATCAGCCCAGAACTACACGGGAGGATCTTGTCAATGATCTCAAGGCAGCTGGGACCATAGTCACCAAGAAAACAATTGGTAACACACTACGCCGTGAAGGACTGAAATCCTGCAGCGCCCGCAAGGTCCCCCTGCTCAAGAAAGCGCATATACATGCCCGTCTGAAGTTTTCCAATGAACATCTGAATGATTCAGAGGACAACTGGGTGAAAGTGTTGTAGTCAGATGAGACCAAAATGGAGCTCTTTGGCATCAACTCAACTCGCCGTGTTTGGAGGAGGAGGAATGCTACCTATGACCCCAAGAACACCATCCCCACCGTCAAACATGGAGGTGGAAACATTATGCTTTGGGGGTGTTTTTCTGCTAAGGGGACAGGACAACTTCACCGCATCAAAGGGACGATGGACGGTGCAATGTACCGTCAAATCTTAGGTGAGAACCTCCTTCCCTCAGCCAGAGCATTGAAAATGGGTCGTGGATGGGTATTCCAGCATGACAATGACCCAAAACACACGGCCAAGGAAACAAAGGAGTGGCTCAAGAAGAAGCACATTCAGGTCCTGGAGTGGCCTAGCCAGTTTCCAGACCTTAACCCCATAGAAAATCTGTGGAAGGAGCTGAAGGTTCGAGTTGCCAAACGTCAGCCTCGAAACCTTAATGACTTGGAGAAGATCTGCAAAGAGGAGTGCGACAGAATCCCTCCTGAGATGTGTGCCAACCTGGTGGCCAACTACGAGAAACGTCTGACCTCTGTGATTGCCAACAAGGGTTTTTGCCACCAAGTACTAAGTCATGTTTTGCAGAGGGGTCAAATACTTATTTCCCTCATTAAAATGCAAATCAATTTATAACATTTTGACATTCGTTTTTCTGGATTTTTTTGTTGTTATTCTGTCTCTCACTGTTCAAATAAACCTACCATTAAAATGATAGACTGATCATTTCTTTGTCAGTGGGCAAACGTACAAAATCAGCAGGGGATCAAATACTTTTTTTTCCTCACTGTATTGGAAATGTTCGGCAAATTCCTTTGCAAGCATCTTTGCACGTGCGTGAAAGCCAGAGTATCCGGATAAAGCCAATGGATACTGGGACACAGACATACAACTATGCAGGTGAGTGAACAGCTTATGCAATCGGGTTTGTAATTTCATTAAAAAAAGGAAAATATCTCACTTTACATTATTATAATCTGTCTTTTGTTTCGTTTGTTTACAGTTCCGCTCACTTCTTGATACATTCACGTATACATGCATAGCATTTACATAAATATATTTAAAAAAATGCATCACGTTTTTTTGCTGATTGGCCATGTCGGGTGGTGGAGGGTTGCGACACATCTATAATAACGCAATCTAGCCCAAAAACCTTTATTATGAATAATACTGGTCACCAAAGCCTACGTGTTAAATAAATCACATGGAACTTAGTCTTAGAGAAATTAATCGATGCATGTAACTGAACCAGTGAATCGATGCTTCTCCGCTTTTCTGCCTGTTGCGACAGCGGCATTGATTTTCAACTTCGACTGCATTCTTCAAATGAGAATATACAAAAAAAAAACAGGCAAGAAGCACTGGACTCTGCTTACAAGCTTACGGCACAGGATACACCTGGGTTGACCAAGAATTCGAGAACTCTGTGCTTGATGTGTTTTCTCTGCTGACACTGGATCCTGGAAAGTGCATTCACCCCACGTGAGCCAGGCGCTCTGCGTCATTCAGCTTCGGACAAATTCCCAACGACAGCGGCATTTTTACAAACCCCAAACCCCGCAGTTTAACGTCCGCCCCCCCCCCCCCCCCAAGGTTCTCTCGCAACACATTTAAGAAACAAAGGAATCCGGGAGAGCGTTTGCCAAATTCTGTTCCTCGCGATCCACCATGGTACAGCATTCCGCGTTTACTAATGTACCAATGTCCGAATGCAAAGATTAAGTCACTCGATGTTGCAAGCACCCAACGGTCGCGAAACGTGTACCTTGCTATGCGGAGACACACTCAACAATTTATATCAGAGCTCTCTATCTCTCTGTCATGTCGCCATCATGAGCATAACACACTATTTATCAATCTCACTTTGAATCAACGCTCTCGGCAGGTTGGCAAACATCAGGCACGTGGAGCGTGTAACGACTTAAGTCTGTATTTCTACAGAGGCGAATCAGTAAAGCTGATATGTGCACGATGGGCAGTGGGGATTTAGGGCGTGTTCTGGGCTTGGTGGAAATGGAAAGATCCCTCTGTGATCCGGCACCTTGGTAGCAGAGCTCGCTGAACAGTGACCACACAGGTCACTGTGCCATTGAGAAACCTACCTGCTGCTGGGGGGGGGGGGGGGCTGTGACGTGGCAGGAGATAGGAGGACGTAAAACCGCCGCAGTCTGCGCTCCTTCAATGGAGGAACAACAAAACTACACGAACTCTCTCCTGAAGCCCTCTCGTGGCGAGCAGACCTCGACAGTGGCATTTAGCTCCCGATTGTATTCCTAATTTCTTATGCCTCAAAAGTACAGAAAATGGCTATTATTCCCCACAAACTTTGCTTTTGTGACCAGGACATTGATATATTTTCATTTACCGATTTTCCAGAACATTCGAGATAGATTCAGTGCTGAGTAAACTTGGATTAACTTCTAGAACATTCTAGAACTTTCCAGTAATATAAATAGTAGTATAAATACAGGGGCCTTAAGCCCACCAGTTTAGTTTAGTTCCAGCTGCCGAAGTGGATACAAATCTGCATTTTTCTGAGATGGCATCAAGAGGCTGCAAGCATCCGGCAGACGCATTTTGCTTTGTCTGCGGCCAATTTATCAAGACAAGAGCAAAAAAGTACTCTGTGGAAGCATCTGCTAAGATATGTGAGGCCTACAAGGCATATTTCGGCATGCCTGTCGGGGATCAAAACAAACCCTGGGCACCTCATTTCACCTGCGAGCAATGCAAACCAACTCTGGAAGGTAATATGGACAATTGTTGCTCGGAATTTTACGTAATAAAATTTGTAAAAAAAAAAAATTCATTGTCAAAGTTTTTCATTTTTAAATGTTTTACAATTTTCAATGTTATTGAAAAAAATTATCATATATGAAAACTGTTGCGAGAATCTCTTACATATTATTCATGGGTGAAATAAATGTATTTTTGTAGGGTGGTACAGAGGGGAAAAGAGAGCCATGAAGTTCAGTATCCCAATAATTTGGCGGGAACCCACTGACCACTCAAGCAACTGCTACTTCTGCATGGTGGACCCTTCCAAACGTCGGACTGGCAAGAATGCACCTGCTATCATGTATCCGGACCTTCTTTCATCCATCGCCCCAGTGCCACACTGCCATGAACTCCCCGTACCCACTCCTCCGGAGAGAGAGCAGCTGTCTTTAGAAAAGAGCAGCAAGTCAGAGAGCGAGGAAGATGTTGTAGATCCAGATAACAATTTCAGAGGTGGAGCTGAGGAGAGAAACCCATACTACCCCAACTAAAAGGACCTCAACGACTTGATCAGAGATCTTGGTCTCACCAAATCCAATGCTGAGCTTTTGACATCGAGGCTCAAGCAGTGGAACTTGTTGGATGAAAATGTGCAAGTCGCAGATCAGAGGAAGCGTCACCAACCTTTTTGCAGCTTCTTCACCCGTCAAGATGGGATCTGCTTCTGCCACAATGAGACCAGTCTGTTTGAGGAAATCAGAATCGCCTGTAACCAGAATGAGTGGCGCCTCTTCATTGACTGCTCATCCAGGAGCCTCAAAGCCGTGCTGCTCCATAATGGTAACAAGTACCTATCTCTTCCCCTGGCTCACTCGGTGGACCTCAAAGAGGATTACAACAGCATCAAGACATTGCTGGATGCCTTGAAGTATGATGAGTATGGCTGGGAGGTCATCGGAGACTTCACAATAGTGGCGTTCCTGGTGGGTCTCCAAGGCGGTTTTACCAAGTTTCCCTGCTATCTTTGCCTTTGGGACAGCAGGGACACCAAGGCGCACTACCACAGGCGGGACTGACCACAGTGGACCAAGTTCTCTGTGGGGAGGAACAATGTTAAGTGGAAGCCACTGGTCGACCCCCGAATGGTGCTGATGCCACCACTGCACGTCAAATTGGGCCCAATGAAACAATTTGTCAGAGCTGTAGATAAGGAGTCGGCAGCCTTCAAGTACCTTCAAGACTTCTTCCCTAAGCTGTCTGAGGCAAAGGTCAAAGCCGGTGTCTTCGTCGGACCACAGATAAAGAAGATCCTGGAGTGCAATGAATTCCCCAAGAAGCTCACCAGTAAGGAGAAAGCGGCTTGGAACAGCTTTGTCGCAGTGGTTCGTGGTGAAGAACTACGGTACAATGGGCTGTAGGATGTCTCTCAAAGTCCATATCTTTGAAGCTCATTTTGATAAATTCAAGGAGAACATGGGTGCGTACTCGGAGGAGCAAGGCGAGCGCTTCGACCAGGATATACTGAGACTTTGAACGCCGCTATCAAGGACAGTATAATAAGAACATGATGGGAGACTACATTTGGGGGCTGATTCGTGAAAGTGATTTACAGTATAAACGTCAATCTCGAAAAACTACTCACTTCTAAATGTTTTGTAGTAATTTATGTATTACTTTAGTATAACTACACGTTAATTTTGATTCATATGTAGTTTTTTTTCTGACTTTATGTGAATTAAAATACACAAATTCGCCAGTTTTCTCATTGAAAATAGGTAAATTTCAAAACATCACTGTCCTGGTCACAAAAGCAAAGTTTGAGGGAATAATAGCAATTTACTATACGTTTTAGGCATATGCAATTACGAAATAACACTTATGACCCAGGAACACAAATTGTGTTATATAGTGTTATCATTGGTAGTGGTTGCGATGGTAGGGGTTCTAGAGGCATTAGTTGGTTATGGCAGTGATGAAGGTGGTAGGACTACTGTAGCGTTGGTGGTACTGATGAGTGCGGCAGCCATTAGTTTGGATTGGCAGTTGGTGGGGAGTGGTACACAGCTGTCAACCCATACGGTTTAGCCATATTCTTGTAGAGGGAAATTGAGTTTTCAGGTCCATACGGCGTACAGCCGTTTCAATACAGGCAAAACAAATGTTTTTGTCTGTTTTTTTGTGTTTCTCCCTTGTGATGGGACTTTGTAGGATGAACGTTGAGATCTATAAAGGCAAGGGGTGACCAAAGATTTCTGAATTGGTCGAAAATAAGGTCGGCACTGATACGGGGCTGACAGCTATGGTGGTATGGCACTGCGTTACGAACTCAGGTGCCAGACATTGTTTCACGCTCGCAGTCAACATCGGTGATGAATATCTGAACCGGTCTTGGGCCTCCCCTAGGCCGTCTCAGCCTTGCATGAGTAATTGGTGCGGTGTATACACATCAGCACTAGGGAAACAAAGGTGGCCGGGTGTAGTGCTGGCCACCCACCCCCTCATGTACTGTGCCAGTCTTCATAGGTGCACTTGCTCCAATAGTAAATTTTAAGGCTATATTGGGGATGTTTTTCTTTGACGTGTTTTTGGTCATAGTAAATGTGCTGCTGGTAGCAGTGGAGGTGGTTCTGGTGTTGTTGCTGGTTGTGTGGTGGTGGTAGGAATGGTGGTGGCCATGATGTTGGTGCTATTGCTGGTTGTGGTTGAGCTGGTGCTGTCGGAGGTGGTGCTGGTATGAATGGTGATAGAATTAATCCTGATACTCGTGATTCTAATTATGCTTTTAGTGTTGTGGTGTGAGCACTGATTCAATGATAATGGTGTAAATGGTAACCCTAGTGCTTGTGATGGTGATGCTGTTGGCGATGGTGGTAATGTACGGGTGGAAGTCCTAGGAATTCTGATGCTGATGGTCCTGCTGATGTCGCGGGCACAAGTAAAATACACATTTTATTGCTCAACGAAGTGGTTTATCATGTGGAAATTTATAGTAGCCAAATACTCTAAATGCACGTTTCTAAATGTGGAGGGAAAAACTGCAGGACGTGGAGAGAAATCTACGCGACCACAGGGAGAACATATAGACTCCAAATATACAGGCGTTAGGGTCGCGATTGAACCCACGACTTCCTGTATACCAGGCGATGGAGTTAACATCTCACCACCGTGGCACTCGGTGGTCATAGTACTGGCAGTGTGGATCTCCTACGGCAAGATGAAATGTGCGAACGTTACACACGCATGTCAAGGTTATTAATCCCTTTGATAGCCTCTGCCGAGGCTTGGTGGATGCCGGTGGAATTGGCCGTGCAGGAGACAATGTTGTACCACGTGATCCTCGGTGCGGCTCTGGTGATCGGAGTCGCATCACTCACGAGACTTTTCGTCAATTTTTTTCGGTACTGGTATCGCCGGTGCTTTGCGCGCGCGCGTGCACACGCCACACGCGGGGTCCCGGTGACCCTGCTGCGGGGGTGGGGGGGGGGGGGGGCGGTGACGTGCGAGGACTGGCCTGTGACGTCGAGGTAGGTGCGCGCACGCCCCGTGCCCGTGGCGCTGACGGCCACGCACTCGTAGAACCCCTCGTCCACTCCCGACACCCGAGGCAGCTCCCACGTGGCCTCCGCCGTCTCCCTGCACGTGGTGGGGGGTGGGGGGGCGACGACGGCAAGCGGCGAAGGTCAACGTGCAGAGTTCGTCACGGCCCACGCCGCCGACGCCACCACACCACTCCTTCGCTTCCTTCCTTCTGCCACATTCTACAGGTTGGTGCGGAGCTCGACTTTAAAGGTCTGCCCTTACACTATTTTATGAATCTGACTTCAGGTCTTGCTCTCGTTAAACTGACGATATGAACTTCAAGAACCGATCATGAAGTCCCATCATCACCACCATCATCATCTGCTTCTAAGGTCCTAGGTTTCCATGACTCGTCTGAGTGACCTGCTCAAGTCTGTCCTACATGCACGAGTGGGTGAAGGGATACAACGTCTAGATGAATGGATGAATGCATAAATTATTGATGATAAATGCTGATGGTCTCATATTGGAAGAATGGATGAATGGATGATTAGATAGATAACGAATGAATTGATGACAAAAGAAAGGATTCACTCATGGGTGGATAAATGGATGGATGGGTGAATGGACGATTAATTTGCGATTGAAGAATTGGTGAAATGAATGGACGGATGAATTGTGTACAAATGGAATGATGATGATGATGAAAGAAAGGGTAAACAAAAGAACGAATGCATTCACGAATTGATGCTGAACACACACACAAATGCATGCATGGAAGAACGCGCGCGAATTGAACAGACAAATGAACAGGGGGGCCACTTGCTTGAAGAACTGGTCGACTCCGAGGCGCACGCCGTCCTTGCTGAAGCGCAGGGTGAAGGGGATGAGGCTGTCCACGGTGCAGGGGATGTACCCCGTCTGCAGGTAGTAGCCGGGCGTGCGCACGGGCATGCTCACCTTCGGGGCCTCTGTTGGGTGCCGGGGGGGGAGGGGCAAGAGGTCAGAATAAGTCCCCTCGGTGAGTGAGTTGGCCCAATAGCAAACGCAGCCCGAGTGCCCTTCCCAAATGGGTCTTGGGTGGCGCTCGTCTCCTTTGGGAGGACCTGAGACATTGGTGGAAATTAAACATTCTCTGATGGGACTCTGGGTAGTCTCTCCATAGGGCAGCATTGTTGAGTTGGTCGTGGTATAAATTTGAAAGATTCCAGGGTTATGGGTTAGAGTCGATCCCCCCACCCCCCATCCGGGATTTGACCTCGCGACCTTCTGATTGTGAGTCGAGTGCACAAATTGCAGTGCCACCGGGCCGACTGTTGCGACCGGGTGCTCCTCATCAGGTTCCGTTAAATGTTTTGTTTGGGATGGTTTCCGAACAAATGTTGTACCGATATCATCTTCATCATCCTTGAAAGAGCTGAGCCAGTCATATACATTCCACATTCCAATGACAGCAAACCGGCCCTTCCACGAGCAGAATTTGTTTTGTCCCCGTGTCAGGCGGTGAGGTAGCCCAGCTATGGTGCAGTTGCCACGTGTTACAGAGGTCCCCGGTTCGAGTCCGGCAGGCCGACCTGCAGGCCGGCCGGTCTGAATGGGGGGCATCAATCGTAACGTGCACGGCCAACTTAACGGTGAGCCGGGGGTCACCGTCCGAAATTGCCACAATAAATATTGATATACCTGTAAATTACTCAAATGGGATTACGTAGCAGCAATCACCGCCCTCTATTGGCAGAATAATTCCCACTTGCAGGTCAGTGCCGAGGCGTGGACAGCTGTCACTGGGGGTTATCTTCAAATTGCGGTGAATGTGAGGTGCTTTGAGATGCCGAGGCATGTATGCGCCCCATAAATGCAAAGTAGAACAACAATTATAATCGCTATATTATTAATATAATGGCCCCAGAGGGACGAGGGGCCGCCTCGACTGCGACTGAACCCTCGACTGCCATTGAACTCGTGAAAAATCGCGAAGGTGCTAATTCAGCATTTAAAACCCACAGCCCCCTAAACGGGGTGAATCACCCCTCACAGGCGAGCGCGCAACAAGCCGCCATGCATCTGCGAACTTGACCACGGCGTCTCAACGCCAACGCCGGAGCCTGCCGCGGGCCAAGGCCGGCGCGCGGTCGGTGGCGGTCGCGGCACGCTATGACGGCGGTCACCGGGCACGATGCTCGAGTAGGAGACGCCCGACACGCGCTGGAAGCGGTAGCCGTCGCGGTCGTATCCCGTGACGCGCAGGAAGAAGCTCTCGGCGGGCGGCACGAACTCGGTGACGTTCCAGATGTTGAAGGGCCGCCGGAGCGGGTGGTAGCGCACGGGCAGCGTCTTGAGGCTCCGGCCCGCCGTGCTCAGCAGCTCCAGGCGGTCGACGCGCGCGTGCGGCTCCAGGCCCGTCGTGTTGAGCAGCACGAACGTGGGGATGCCTGCGCGAGTGTTGTGGAGAGGCAGCGTTGTCGCGTGGCTACGTTTAGAAAGTCATCGGTCTGAGATTGAGCGATTGCTCGGGTTGTTTTTGTTCGACGCAACGTCGCAGAATGCCGCGTTTTGGCGTTTTTAACGAGGCGTGAGTTGATTGGTTAACTTTGTGATTAGTTTCTTTGCGTCTTATTCGGTTTCGTTAGCAAAGAAGTAACAGCGCGATATGTAATGTGATTGTGGGCGATGTGCATCAACATCCATCCGGCTGCTGCTGTGACCACATTCACGTAAGTTGCTGACACGAACATTCGTTAAACAGATACATCCACAGATATATATTTAGTGAAAGTTAAGGCGTTTCAGGGAGACGGGAGAATTACATTGAAATACAAGTGAAAGAGCATATGATGCATAACTTGAAAGTGCGTGCTAGCTTCGTGTTGTGCAAACGTGAGTTGGTGGTCAGACCTTGTACGGGGCGATTCGAGGTCGACTTGAAGTCCATCGTCGGTTTCTTGGAAAATCCGGCACGGAAGTCAATGGTGCTGAGCCCTGTCATTCGGAGCGAGTGTCTTCCATTGCTTCCAATCTACAGCAAAGAAGACAAAAATCCCCCCGTTTAGCCTAAACAGACTTGTTGGGGTGAGTGATTTTGGCGAGCAGCAGCTATGAAGGCCGGCAAAGGCACACGAGGGGGTGGTTGGCCTGCACCCACACCCGGTCGCCTTTGTCTCCCCGGTGGCGATGTTTATCGCACCAGGTATTCATTTGAGTCGAGCTTAGGGGAGGCCCAGGGCAAGTTCAGATAAATGTAACTGGTGTTGGCCATAAGCAGGAATCAAACGTGGGTCGCCAGGTTTGAGGCACAACGTGCTAACCACGACACTATCGCTCCCCACAATCCCCCAATGTACAGCAGGAGCATGCACATAAACACTACTGCAGTACTATTATTATTATCAATGAGGGCCCTGTTATTAATGAGGCACTAATCACCTAGCAACAAAGGAAAGCACACAGTAGCATAAAATACCGAGTATGTAATGCTTTCAGGAATTGGATTCTGCTATATCATGTGCAGTTCATTAATTGGCGCAGATCAACAATAAAAACGTTGACACCCGTGGCACGTTGTGAGGTAATTTTATACGCACACAGCTAGAAATCACGTAATGTTATTATTTTGGACCATTAGCTAATGGCAGCGCTGTTTGGAATCACGCTTAAAAGGTTCGGTCGTTGCCAGGATGAGTTAAAAAAAATGTATCGTGGACTCTGGCTATTGTTCAATGAAAACGGTTTTGGGGAAGTCTAATTGCGTGACTCAGAATCTGGCACAGATATTTTTTTTTTTTTTACCAGAAATGGAAGGCAGTAATTTCTCAATACATTTTCACTGACCCTAATTATCGTTGAAAAATTAAATATAAATATACACACACACTGCATGTATTTTAGAATGTAGCACCTTTGCAAGAGTTAAATAAATTTTCCGTTTCAGCAATCATAAAGGTAAAATCAAAATTAACCGGCTTGGCACGGCACGACGTGCTGCGGCTGAGTGCTCCACTCGTAATCGTCAGGACATAAGTAGAAACGGAGAATCAACTCGGCCAATCATTGCTCTGGGGCCAGTAAAATATTTACCGCTTTGTCAGAAATCAAAAGTTGGGTTGTCGTATGGATAGACTGGCCACCATCACAAGAATGTGGAATTTACACCACAGGCTCAGGACTCTAAATGACAGTGAACACTGGCTAATGCTCGATTAAGTACTGAGCCACTTTAACTTTTATTTTATAACAACAGCATAAACTTTCCCGATCAATAAGAAGACTTCGGTCCACTCTGGCCTTTTTCATTAAAAGCAATGATTGAGTTCTGCAGCTATCATCAGCTCTCAAACACTAACCCATAACTAACAAAAATAATGTTACACCGTACTCAGATTGGAATACAACTACTATTTGACTCTCTCAGAGATTTGTCCACGAAGCAATTCAGATTTACAAACACAATTTCAACCGAGAAGATGGTTTCAAATTAAGCAACCATTGGAAAGATGTTCTAAATCGAACCAAACATTAAACTAATTTTCAGTGGTACAGTATATTTATTCAAGTGGTGACATCCCAAACCCTCACGGTGGTGTAATGTCATTTTATGCTAATTCCAAGCTTTCACAGTAGTACATTTTATGCTAATTCCTTTGTCAAGGCGTTTTCTGTTTACCCCCTCACAGCTTAATGGAGGCGACCTGCGCTTGGCTATCTTCACTCCAACGCTGTCCTCTGGACAGTTTGGTCCCTAAACCTGATGAAGGCCACTTGTGTTGTGGCCGAAACGTCGTGATTTTTGTTGTTTTATTTTTTACCTACGTGACTTTACCAAATAGAACCAAATAGCATGTACATGTGCGTTTAACCATCCGAAGCATTTCATAATGAGCGAACGAGTCTGTTTAAATGTTGGCCCAAGAGACTGTTTCAAAAACACTTTGGAGCAAAACGACAACGTTGCCATTCATAGAATTGCAATGTGCTTCCAGCAAGAAGCCGAAATAAAAAATAAAGCACGCCGCTGGCAGTCACTTTGTCCAAGAGTTGTCGGAAGTTGGCTGATCCAATTTTCTCCGGCAACATTTTTCTGGTCAACAATTCCGTGCGACGTGCATCGAGTGCGATTTTCAAGCTGCTGTAATTTTTCTATTAGCCTTGCCTGGTTTAATGTGCCATGGCCCGCCATTCCAATTGGCTGACGAGTGGGGCAGCCCCTGGGCCTGAGGTCACCTCACTCGTAATTGTACCCGCGGTTCGAATTAATGACAATTGACAACGTCGAGTAATTGCAGTTGAAATTGCAATAGTACTTTTTAACCGCGGTGTAATTTCTATTTAAATTTGACACCGCACAACTTGCTAGCATGCCAACACTACATGTTCAGTTATGCTTGTCGAGTGTATGCCTAGGCATTGTTTGTATGTTTTGTATATGAATGTGTATATGGGGAGCAAAGGCATTGTAGTGCAGGGCGTAATTCCTATCCACAACCACAACATCAGTGACAATTGGAAACTAAATCAACTCAGCCCAAGTTGAGTTCTTGGTGCAGCCTGTCAATGGACTTTGAATAGTACTTCTGGTGGGACGTTATGAGATTAAAAAGTTTCCATATCTGGAAGTTTGACAGCAAAGCATTGTGGCATCACGTGGTGTCAATGAATGGCCTGGTCACACCACATCACTAATTCCGAAGTCACTTCACATCCAACGCTATATAGCTTTTGCACTGTAACGAAACTAAAACTAAACGGGACTATATATTAGTGGGGAATAGTAGCCATTTTCTATACTTTTTAGGCATAAGCAATTAAAAAAGAACACTTAGTACCCAGAAACAAAAATTGTGTTACATAGTGATATATATATATATAACATGATTCACTGAATGATGTCGCCCTCAAAGCTGGAATATGCAGTATATATTTTGTGCAATGTTTCTGTACGGTGTTTTGGTGACCAGGCTTAGGATGTTAACTCACTACACATACTGTGAATGTGGCATAATAATCACTGAACTAATCAACCGATGGACGAATAGAAAAAAAACTGTATTTGTTCGTGTTTTTTCAATACCTTGTATAAAGGTGTGTTATATGTGTGTTACCCAAAAAAACGTGTTTCCCAATCGGCTGCGACAAATATTTACCCGGAGCCTGCCCATTTAAACCAAAATTAAAACATGTGTTAACAGGCAACCAATGCACGATGCCTTTAAGCATTCAGAGCATTTTGTACAAATACAGTCTGTCCTCCTATAACACGGTAGTAGTTTCGTTCCTGAAGAACACTGCGTTATGGTAAAATCGCGTTATAATAAAATATATATATAATATAGGGTAAAGCACAGTCCGCGATAAACACGTGAGATGCGTAACGCGGGCTGAACAAAGACTGAGGCGCCTGGGTAGCATCTAGAAGTATCCAGCAGCATCCCACCGCCTTGTGCGATGCCACGCCGAGGCAGCCGTACCACCGCTTGTTGCTACTCGTGCGACGCGCTTCCGTTCACTCCATCGCGTTATATACAATCAGCATCCGCATTATAAAAAAAATGTGAATACATTCATCACGTTATATCCAATTCGCGTTATGAAGACAAGCGTTATAGGTGAAAAATAAACCCCACGCCGTCTGGTTCAAAGTGGACATTAAACATCTTCGAAGAACTAAAAACTAAACTTTGCTATTTTTTATTTTACGAGGTAAGGCCCACTGAGCTATATAGCTCTCATTCAGAAGTTACCTGGCCACAGATGATAGCCCAACGAAGTGGCTGACCATGTGGAAATGTTTCGAAGCCGAATACTCTTAAACGCATGTTTCCAAATGTGGTGGGAAAAACCGGGAGACCCAGAGAAAAATCCACGTGACCACAGGGAAAACATGCAAACTCCAAATATACAGCAGGCGTCAGGGTCGGGATAGAACCTACGACCTCCTGTACACCAGGCAAGGTAGTTAACACTTTATTCCACCACATGCAACATCCCGATCGACTCAGTGTGGTGCACCCATTTAAAGTGCTGAGTGAACAGAAACTTTAACTGCAATGCCGGGAGAACGAACCAGCAACCTCTGAGTTTTCCTTGGTCTTACCCCCACAAAATAACTCCAACCTTTGCCCCTACTAAATAACCCCAAACCTTACCCCACTAAATAACCCAAACCCTTACCTCCACTAAATAACCCTTACCCCCACTAAATAACACTAACCCTTAGCCCCACTAAATAACCCTAACCCCTTACACCGACTAAATATGCCGTGCCATCCTGTTCCATTTTCAAATAAGTACGAGTGCAACTGATCTACGGCCAATTAAAATCAGGTTCATGCGTCATTTACCAAAGGCATGTTTTATCAACACCTGTAATATATCACTTGCTGCTCTGATAGGCACTAGTTACGCTGTCAGCATGTTTAAAATGCGTGTTTTTTAAGTAACCATAACCCCCTCTTTGAGGGCTACATTACACGGGCCCATACAGTGTTTTAATTGATTAATTAATTCATTTTACGAAGGCTTATATATAAAATTACATTCTGGTCAGCAGGACTGAAGCAAATATTAACAATAATAATTACGTAAGTTGTGCAGGAATGAATAATTTAATCCCAAGACTATTTTCAGGCAGGCTCTGTTTGCTATCTTTGGCTAACTCCTGCAGGAACATTTGTGTTGCGTGACATCGAACAATAGCACTTGGAATAAACCTACGGCATACTCGAGATAAGAGCAGAGATAAGTCAGAAACCAACTTTCTGTACTGCCTCGTAAAGACAGTTTGGTGTCTCATGTACACGACGGTTCAGCCTCTGTGCCACGTAAACTCTCCTAAACTCTCCTCTTCAAATGCTGTGCACCTCCACGCTTGGCGAAAACTTGCATTATACAGGACGCCTATGAAATAGAGCCTAGAAGCACATCAGGCCATTCCTGCTGATAGAAATAAAATCTATCTATCTCATAGTGAATTTGTGATGCAGACGCTCACTTTATAAGTGTAATAATATCTTTAACTATATTTGTAATTTCGAACATATTAAAAAGGGCCCTGGTGTAGTTTATCCACCATCAGGCCCCACTCTGGGAGACTTTAATATGTGATCATTCGGCGGGCGGGTGAGAGAGTGCTACAAGATGGCAGGGCCATTTGTCGAACGAGCTCCATTTCCGTGGTTGCACCCGATTCAAGAGCCGAATGGCTCACAGGGCTATACCAAAACAAATAAACTGAAACTGAGGCCAACGGCGACCTGGGGGAGAAGACAGCGCGGTTCAGGTCGAGTACGTGTGTTGCAAAGGAAAAAGGCACGAACAGAGCAATTTTTTTTTAAAATTACACATGCTGTGCATTTGGGGGCTAACTCCCGTAAAAGACGAAGGGGTTTTGGCGTTCACAAAACATTCGTGTAACAAGAGCTCCGGACAATTTGGCAAGCTGACGAACGTTGAAGGGGACGCCGTCCCTTCACCAGTGTGTTTTTAGTACGAGAAAAATAGGCTGGTGGGACAGAAAAGAAAAATAGACACGTGAAGAGCTGTCATGTATTGAGATTGGCTGGGTGGACCAGAGGGATGCCGATATCAGTGCACTGAGTCACCACTCCTGAGATCTTGGTGTTCAAAATTTGGGTTTCAGACACCCGCACAAAAAATCCCAGGCTCTCTCGAGTGCAGTGTATTGATGAGCGCAAGCCAATCATCAGTGACTACACACAACAACAACAACAAATAATGCAAATGTCACCCCTTCATATAATTGAGTTCGGTTCACCTTGTCAGGGCGAACAAATGTGAAGATCGTTGGGTAAATTACGGGACAAAAGACGGCTACCACGTGGTGCTGTGTAAGAGTTAGGTGCACGTGTAAGTAAGCTCTGTGTTTTTGGGTTAATAGGGGACATGAAGAGGGGGAGTGAAGGGATGTAACCGAGCCATAAGATAAGTCTCTTGAAATGACTCCAGAAGCGCTTCTCTATTGTTATCTTGCCAGGATTGTCCGCCGACATTGCGAGGCTCCTCCGACTGAAGGAGTTCCCAAAATGGCATTTCTCCATCTCCTGACATGACTTTGATCGCACTCGTGGGATATAATGAACGATACGAATCCTCGAAAGTTAAAACATTCGTCAATTCGCCAAACACACAGATAAAGTGCATTTTTATATAAGACACGTTCAAACGTTGAGTATTTAAGTCCCGGTTGCAGATCAACTCAACCTCATCATATTTGTTGGATAAAAAAAGACTACTTTGCAGTACGTCTACAGTGATTCATCTCATAGACAGATCGCTTGCTTATCATGTGAATGTCTAAATTCCACCAGTGGCCCAGAGCATCCATTCGAGATGAGTGATCTTCAATTACTGGTGTGAGTAAAGAGGCAAAAGGTACAGGAGCAGCCCTGCAATTGCTTGCTCACACCACTGTGTGAGCTGCCTCCACTTCGAGGGAGCTCTACAGAGCCCCTCTCAAGCGTCTTTTGGCCACATCTCTGGCCAGAACTCTTCTCTGGCCAGAACTCTTGTTCGAGGTGGAAGCACTCGCACTTTACACCACCGCAGGTGGCTTGCCGATCGCCTAGCTGTGCTGTAGTCAATTACAGTGCTGGGGGGGGGACAGAGGGGGGGGGGGGAGGGGGGTATTTAAGAAACTTGCACCATTCTTTCAACTTCCGTTCCCGGAGATGGAATCGACAAACCCTGGATGGATTGCAAGTCCGGAGTGATAACCGTTAGCCCACGGCAGTCTCCCATCTGGTTCAAGCCCACAACAAGAATCAAAGTGATTCTTTTGCTCAAATGAGCAGTGAGGTGGTGCCCATCTTCCGTTTACAGCCCCGAACCAGTGGTGAAAACTCCACCTTCCTATGGCTGAGGAGAGTCTAGCAAACCGCTGTTGACCACCCACAAAATGGTACTTATTTTAACAACCATAATGGAATTATAGGCTGAGTCACCCCCCCTCCCATCCCCCACTCAGCTTGAATGAGAATGCAGAAACGTTTTCCGTAGGTCATTTACAGCAGACAAAGCGATCAAACCTTGATTGTCCAGAGGCCAGGAGCAGGGTCCTTGATATTCACCACCTTGGCTGAGTTGGGAATGTGCAGCAGTTCTGTGAGTCCGGCTCCCTTCTTCATGAGCTTGCCTAGAGGGACCAGGGGCCATTGGGAACGATGATCGTTGTGAAACCGGACGACGACAACGAGAGACCACGGCCAACGTGGTCACAGGAGAGAGTGAGTGAGAGAGTGAGAGAGTGAGAGAGAGAGAGTGAGTGAGTGAGAGAGTGAGAGTGAGTGAGTGAGAGAGAATGAGAGTGAGTGAATGAGGGAGTGAGTGAGTGAGAGAGAGAGTGAGTGAGCGAGAGTGAGTGAGAGAGTGTTAGAATGAGAGAGAAATAATGAGATAGAGTGAGTGAGTGAGGGAGTGAGAGAGTGAGTGAGAAAGTGACAGAATGAGATAGAGTGAGTGAGAGAATGAGTGAGGGAGTGAGAGAGTGAGTGAGCGAGAGTGAGTGACAGAATGAGAGAGAAATAATGAGATAGAGTGAGTGAGAGAGTGAGTGAGGGAGAGAGTGAGGGAGTGAGAGAGAGAGTGAGAGGGTGGGTGAGAGAGTGAGTGACAGAATGAGAGAAAGAATGAGATAGAGTGAGTGAGAGAGTGAGAGAGTGGGTGAGAGAGTGAGTGAGTGAGAGTAAGTGATAGAATGAGAGAAGAGAGAGAATGAGATAGAGTGAGTGAGAGAATGAGTGAGAGAGTGCACATAAATATAAAGTGAGACGGTGAGAAGGGAGAGGGAGTTGAGACAATAAATAAATGTCACGTCTGGAGTACACAGGCGAAATCACAATCAACAGATAAGGAGTTGGATTTGGACAACGCTGCTCCACAGTCATTGGCCTGGAACTCACTACCGATGCACGATGTTCAAGACTCTTGACAGACGTGTAACCAGTTCAGTAGCACATGCATGACAAAGCTGTGTCATCGGGCTTACAATGTACGAACACTGCACACTCGAGTGTTGCATTTATTTAAATTTACTTATCACATTGAGGGTTAACTGAGCCCATCATCTCTTCATTTCCAATAAAATAAGTACTGCTTTGCAAAAAAGTTAACAATGGTCGTGTTATGAATAGACCATATGGCGTACAGACGTTTTAAAACGGGCAAAATAAATGTGTTTGTCTATTTGTTTGTGTTTCTCCCCGATGATGGGACCTTCTAGGATAAACGTTGAGATTTTCAGGGCACGGGATGACCAATAAGGTCTGAATCACTACTATAATGAGCCAAGAATGTCTGTGTGTAACGCGCATGACGTCACTCCACATGCCGCACCCCCCATCATGAATATTCATGAGCGGGTGGATTTTTACACTCACGCAGAAGAAGGTCGAGCGGAAACAAAAAGTCTAATTTATGCTTCTACATTATGGTAAAATAGAAATTTCTCGGTGATTTTCCAGATACTGTATCGAATTCCAATTTATTTCAACCCCAGCGACCGAATGCAGAAGAGAATAAAATATCAGAGCAGTGAAATTGAAGAAATTGCAGGTCAGTTATATACAGTGCTACAGTGACATGAATTGAGGTGTTTTATGATTTCGTTTTGTGCCAAATTCACTGCCATTAATACAGCGCTACAGTGAACTGCAGCGAAGTGTTTGATGACTTCGTTTCGTGCAAGATTCACTGCCATTAAATTTACACAAGATACAATTATTACTCTGCTATTTTTTTCGTGAATATTACAACTTCCGTCCTAGGATGGCCAAACAAGTGAGTTGGTCTATAAGAAGGCAGACACCGATAAGAGGTTGACAGTGGTATGGTGGTATGGCACTGCGTTACGAACTCGGCGGCCAGACATTGTTTCACGCTCGCAGTCAACATCGGTGACGAATATCTGAACCGGTCTTGGGCCTCTCCTAGGTCGCCTCAGCCTCAAATGAGTACCTGGTGCGGTGTGTAAACATCGCCACTGGGGAGACAAAGGCAGCCGGGCGTGGTGCTGGCCACCCACCCCCTCGTGTGATGTGTCGCCCTCCATAGGTGCTCGCTAACAGCACTTGCCTCAACAGTCTGTCAAAGGCTCCATGGGGGATGTTTGTCTTTGTATCCTCATGTCTCTGTATGCATATCTCCATGTTGCTGTGGATGTCCATCTCTCTCTGCATCACAGTTGGCTGGGGCCACTTTATCTCCCTAGTCAAACCCCGCCATAGGCGAATCCAATGTGTTTCAACATCCACTTACACGATTCCACGATTCTGTGACCCACCGTGACATCTGTGATAACATTGTAGCCTTAGACACGATGCCATAGGCGAACAAATAGATTTAAAGAAGTGCATCCGGGTTGGCCATGGAATATTACAGTGAGTAGCAGACTTTGGAATCAGATGAATGAAGTTGGATTTGTAGTGGAGGGCAAACAGTGGTGTGACTAGGGGAGATAATGCATTACCATAGAAGGGAAAAGAGGCTTAAGTAGCAGATAAAGAGGTGTGAGGAAGAAGCTGGGTTTGGGAGAGGGGGAGAAGGTGTGACTGGGGGTGGGTGGGCGAGTCAGATTAAGATCAGAATCAGAACATTTGTTTGCACTGGACGAATCCGATGAGCTGTCAAGCTCTTTTTCACAGATGTGCTCAACTAAACTGAACTATTTTTTTTATTTTACAAGGTAAGGCCCACTGAGCTATGTGGATATTTTTCAAAAGCGACCTGGCCACAAATGACAGCTCAGCGAAGTGACTAATTCTGTGGAAATTTATCGCAGCCAAATACTCTAAACGCGTAAATGTGGAGGGGAAAAACTGGGGAAGAATCCACGCGACCACAGGGAGAGAGACACGCGAACTCCAAATATACAGCAGGCGTCAGGGTCGGGATCGAAGCCGCGACCTCCTGTACACCAGGCGAGGTAGTTAACATCTCACCACGGGTAGAGAGAGAGACACGCGAACTCCAAATATGCAGCAGGCGTCAGGGTCGGGATCGAAGCCGCGACCTCCTGTACACCAGGCGAGGTAGTTAACATCTCATAGCCATCGTGATGATGGTGAGAGAGAGAGACACGCAAACTCCAAATATACAGCAGGCGTCAGGGTCGGGATCGAAGCCGCGACCTCCTGTACACCAGGCGAGGTAGTTAACATCTCATAGCCATCGTGATGATGGTGAGAGAGAGAGACACGCAAACTACAAATATACAGCAGGCGTCAGGGTCGGGATCGAAGCCGCGACCTCCTGTACACCGGGCGAGGCTGTTAACATCTCACCACGGGTAGAGAGAGAGAGACATGCAAACGCCAAATATACAGCAGGCGTCAGGGTCGGGATCGAAGCCGCGACCTCCTGTACACCGGGCGAGGTTGTTAACATCTCGACGCCGGGTCCAGTAGTGGGGGCGGCTGGGAACGCGAGAATGGCAAGAAGGGAACATCGCAAACGCGCGGAGGCCCTGGGGGCGGGAGGGGGCAGGGCAAGGGACAGGACAAATTAGAGAAGGCAGGCGGCACGAGGGATTAATTAGACGTGACCCGAGGAAGTAGCGGGGTGGTTGAGTTTGGATTCTGGGTTTTGGGTTTTTAAAAGCGGTGGGATTGGGGTGGAGGGTAGGGGGGGGGGAGCTTGGGGGAGGGATGGCCTCGGGGGGGGTGTAACGGGTGCAGAAAGAAGAATTCTTACGGCACTACGTAATGTCACAGATGTCTGACGATGAACAGTGGAAGAGCAAATGAAATGTTCTAAAACGTATTTATTCTGAACATCTAGAAGGATATAATGGTTATAAACGCATCTGTAATCTAGCTGTAAGTCTGGAGGTTTTCAGTTAACGAGGCATTGCTTTTCTGTGAGAGGCGATCCGCTGGTATGTGTAATTGTTTGTTTATTTACATATGCATTCGTTTTAGCATCCTCAGGCAGTCATTTCAATAAATGCCCTTTGCGACCTCGCCGGTGCCCCAAAAGAGGCGAGGCTGGCTGCCCTCTTCATAGTGGAGGGCGATGCAAAGGGGACTCACCCAAGTCACGGCGACTCAAGCCCATTAAGCTTGCAACCAGGGCGCGTGTCAAGCCACTAGGCACACACCCGAGGACGATTTAAACACAACTGTGAAGAGGGTTACGCTCGACTAAAGTTAAGAGAGAAGATTAATTGCACTTTGTTTGACGTGTTTTTTGGGTTTAACACGACCGGCCCTAAAATAACACAATCGTCAGAGGCCATTGTGTATCCATTGCTGGGCGAAGGCCTCCCGCTACCCCACCGTAATTCCTCACGGTACAATGCTGCTCACATCGATCTCTCCTCTGAACGTGAACCGATCTTATCGCTCCATCTCCATGGCGGCCGTATACCCTTGGATTTAAGACGTTATTTCTTTACAATTGTTTTTGTGTTTAGTTTGTCATCCTTCCCCCGCACCTCCGATTAGCATGGTTGGCTACGTACGGTGCGAAAGAAGTTCAACATACATACATTAGATGCGTTCTTAATTTTCCTGCCCAAGACAAATTTACTCTTCTTAATTTTGAACAAGAGTAAACTATTCGTATGCCTATTTAAAAACTGGTCATCAGAGAGCATTTTTAAAACGTAATTCTCATCGGGCCCCATGGTGTAAAGCAGTGTTCTTCACTCATTTTGAGAAAGGCGCCACTTTCGCCGATAAGGCATCATCAGTGTAAGGGCCGCCACACATCTGAAACCATTGTTGGGTTTGAGAGCCGCACGATGATGGTGGGGGGTGTTATCACTCGTCGTGTTATCACTCGTTGTGTTATCACTCGTTGTGTTTTCACTCGTCGTGTTATCACTCGTTGTGTTATCACTCGCCGTGTTATCACTCGTTGTGTTTTCACTCGTTGTGCTATCACTCGTTGTGTTTTCACTCGTCGTGCTTTCACTCGTTGTGTTATCACTCGTTGTGTTTTCACTCGTTGTGTTTTCACTCGTTGTGTTATCACTCGTTGTGTTTTCACTCGTTGTGTTATCACTCGTTGTGTTATCAATCGTCGTGTTATCACTCGTTGTGTTTTCACTCGTTGTGTTATCACTCGTGTTTCACTCGTCGTTGTTATCACTCGTCGTGTTTATCACTCGTTGTTGTTTTCACGTCGTTGTGTTTTCACTCGTTGTGTTAGCAACTCTCGTTGTGTTATCACTCGTCGTGTTATCACTCGTCGTGTTATCACTCGTCGTGCTTTCACTCGTTGTGTTTTCACTCGTCGTGTTATCACTCGTCGTGTTTTCACTCGTTGTGTTATCACTCGTCGTGTTATCACTCGTCGTGTTTTCACTCGTCGTGTTTTCACTCGTTGTGTTATCACTCGTTGTGTTTTCACTCGTTGTGTTATCACTCGTTGTGTTATCACTCGTTGTGTTATCACTCGTTGTGTTATCACTCGTTGTGTTATCACTCGTTGTGTTATCACTCGTCGTGTTATCACTCGTCGTGTTATCACTCGTCGTGTTATCACTCGTTGTGTTATCACTCGTTGTGTTATCACTCGTCGTGTTTTCACTCGTTGTGTTATCACTCTTCGTGTTATCACTCGTTGTGTTATCACTCGTTGTGTTTTCACTAGTCATGTTATCACTCGTTGTGTTATCACTCTTCGTGTTATCACTCGTTGTGTTATCACTCGCTGTGTTATCACTCGTTGTGTTATCACTCGTCGTGTTTTCACTCGTGTTTTCACTCGTTGTGTTATCACTCGTCATGTTATCACTCGTTGTGTTTTCACTCGTTGTGTTATCACTCGTCGTGTTATCACTCGTTGTGTTATCACTCGCCGTGTTATCACTCATCGTGTTATCACTCGTCGTGTTTTCACTCGTGTTTTCACTCGTTGTGTTATCACTCGTCATGTTATCACTCGTTGTGTTATCACTCGTTGTGTTTTCACTCGTTGTGTTATCACTCGTCATGTTATCACTCGTTGTGTTATCACTCGTTGTGTTTTCACTCGTTGTGTTTTCACTCGTTGTGTTATCACTCGTTGTGTTTTCACTCATTGTGTTATCACTCGTTGTGTTATCACTTGTCGTGTTATCACTCGTTGTGTTTTCACTCGTTGTGTTATCACTCGTTGTGTTATCACTCGTCGTGTTATCACTCATCGTGTTTTCACTCGTTGTGTTATCACTCGTTGTGTTATCACTCGTCGTGTTTTCACTCGTCGTGTTATCACTCGTCGTGTTTTCACTCGTTGTGTTATCACTCGTTGTGTTATCACTCGTTGTGTTATCACTCGTTGTGTTTTCACTCGTTGTGTTTTCACTCGTTGTGTTATCACTCGTCGTGTTTTCACTCGTCGTGTTATCACTCGTCGTGTTATCACTCGTTGTGTTATCACTCGTCGTGTTTTCACTCGTTGTGTTATCACTCGTCGTGTTATCACTCGTTGTGTTATCACTCGTCGTGCTTTCACTCGTTGTGTTTTCACTCGTTGTGTTTTCACTCGTTGTGTTATCACTCGTCGTGTTATCACTCGTTGTGTTATCACTCGTTGTGTTTTCACTCATTGTGTTTTCACTCTTTGTGTTATCACTTGTCGTGTTATCACTCATTATGTTATCACTCGTTGTGTTTTCACTCGTTGTGTTATCACTCGTCGTGTTATCACTCGTCGTGTTATCACTCGTTGTGTTATCACTCGTCGTGTTATCACTCGTCGTGTTATCACTCGTCGTGTTATCACTCGTCGTGTTATCACTCGTTGTGTTATCACTCGTTGTGTTATCACTCGTCGTGTTTTCACTCGTTGTGTTATCACTCTTCGTGTTATCACTCTTCGTGTTATCACTCGTTGTGTTATCACTCGCTGTGTTATCACTCGTTGTGTTATCACTCGTTGTGTTATCACTCGTCGTGTTATCACTTGTCGTGCTTTCATTCGTCGTGTTATCACTCGTTGTGTTATCACTCGTCGTGCTTTCACTCGTTGTGTATTGTCGGGAGCCGCACATGGGGGGCCGCACTAAAGGCCACCAGGGGTCGCAATGAAGAACACTCGTGTAGAGTGTAGTATTCAACCTTAATCATTATTATTCACTCTATGTCTCTGGCCTCTTTTTATGTCCTGTGAAGAAGGCCCATTGCCCCAAATGTTGCCTATTGTGTACTTTCCTTGTTAAGGCCACACTATTATTGTTGAATGTGTTGAGTTTGTTTTGTTACGTGTGCTTGTGCAAGCACTGCCAACGCATTGCCACCAAATAATGTATCCAGAAAATTGCTTGATACTATCGGCAAGACTCATTATGCTCGAGAACCCATTTAAGTTATGGGGAGGCTTGCTCAGATTTGGACCCAGCACTGCTGGGTTCAGTGTTGTGATGCAGGCATGAAGCCTGGGAGGCAGGCCTAAAATGCTCTTCACTATTCCAGTCATCGGGTTTGTAAGATCCATACAAAGCAATAATGTGCATGCTTCTCGCAAGGATTGACTTATTGATCCCTCTCTGTGATAAGAGGAAGACCTAACAGAGAATGACTTGACGACATCAGAGATTGGTGCCAGGAAGATGTGGCCACTGCTTGAGCATATTGGTAGAAGACAGAGGAAAGTGGAAACAACAAATGACGAAATGTGCAGTGCATACCTACGGGCTATCTGCCCATAGATCGTGATGATGATGCTGATGTAACAAGATGCTAAAATGTCTCGTCTGACGAAACTAAGCAATTTTTTTCCCCCAGGTAAAGCTCGTTGAGCGATGAGCTCTTTTTCAGAGGTGACATAGCCACACAAGATAGATAATCGAAATGGCTGATATCATCATATGTGGAAAGTTATATTTCCAGTAAAGTTATTTTAACGCGTGTTTCTAAATGTGGAGGGCAAAAACCGGAGGACCCGGAGAAAAATCCACATGACCGCGGGGAGAGAGAGAACACGCGGACCCAAAATATGCAGGCATCTGGGTCAGGATCGAACCCAGGATCTCCTCCATACCAGGCGAGGGAGGTAACATTTCACCACGAGGTCACGCAATCGCCTGTCACGTGTAAACCAAAGACATCGTCATGCCGGTTCTCTTGGACCCAGGGCAGTATCCTCAGGTTCAGAAGAATTTGAGCCACATGGCCACTTCTTCTACAGCATTGAGAGCTTAGGGGGCAGGGGGCTGTAAATGCTCCGATGCAAGTGGACGGCTCTCAGCCGGAGCACCGCCCCCCCCCCCCGCCGCGCTCGCTGAGGGGGTGGATGGCGGTGTGGCCCAGTGGCAGCGCGCGAGCCGCGCAAGCCACCTGGAGGCGCCGCACTCATGGAGCCGTGAACCTGGGGCACGTGGAGCCGTGACCTCCGTGTGCCGCGCCACCTGCCGAGTTTCGCGATTGAACGGCGATGTTCAGCCATTTCAATGCGTGTGTGCGCGTTGCGAGGTACATTTTTTAAAAATAATTATTTCACGATCATATTGTTAATAAAATGCATGCCGTCTGTTTTCACATTCGACGTTGAAGATCCCGTGACGCCTTTTCGAAGGAGGGTGCGCTAGCGTCACGGTCCAAATTTGTAACGAAAGATATGATTTACTCGCAAATCATTCAACGGGGAAACGGAAAGCAAGCGTCGCATCCTATTGCGAAAACTAAGCAGAACCCTCCAGAAAAAAAACGAGTAAAATTATGAAGAATAACAACAAGGATAATGGGCTCATACCTGACGGGTCCCGGATCTCGATGGAGGGAGACAGGCCGCTGAGGGAGACTGTGACCTCCTTGAGGCTCGGATCAAACGGGATCTGCCACGTGTTCTGGTCGCTTGACTCGTGGTCCGTGGACAGAATGTGCACCTTGGAAGCTTGCACAGCCTCCTCGACCCATTTCAAAACCTGTGCGAAGAGGACAGGGGGGGGTCACACCAGCTTCATTCCACTTCACATCTTTGCTGTGGAATGCTAGGTCCGCAGCTTACATATCCATGGTCTTTATAGATGAATATTTCATATTCAGCTGTCTGGTATAGACCTCTAGTCGTAATGATAACTACAAGATATTTACCAGAAGCCGGACAGAGATTTTTCGATAATCATTGGATTGTTAGGTTCTTTGCAAGCCATCTGGCTACCATGAGAGATTCGTTCATGAGGCTATCCACATATACAAACACAGAGATAATTTCAACCGAGAAGATGGATTCTGGCTTAGCAATCATTGGAAGGATTTGATAAACCATTTCGGGTCTTAATTTATTGTTCACGCTTACGGTGGCTTTCAGACAGCATACATTAATTTTTCGTCTCCCCCCTCCTCTTTTCCGAACATAGATGGATGCGTCCATCTAAACAAACTGTCAAATCGCTATCCGTGGTGCTAACGTCTAAAATTGAATAAATAAATACAAACCGCCACTTCTTTCAAATGTTCTTGCCGTTGGTTTTCACACCTGATGATGACTGCTTGTGTTGCAGTCGAAACGTCGTGGGAATTGTATTGTTATATATATTTTATTATTTTATTGTTTCCCTTCAACGTGACTTTACCGAAAGAGCCAAGAATATGAATCACTACAGTCACGAAAGCTTTAAATCAAAATTTAACCGCCTCTACAGGGAGGGTTTCCACATAACTTTAAGATCCTTCAACAAACTCCGGGATAAGAAGGCTCAGCTGATCGAGTCTCTCACCTTTCTGAAGAGATGCCGCGACTCTGGGGTAATACCAATCGCATTTACACTGACCTCTGCTGCTGTATCTTCTTCTAATGCGAAACGAATTATTTTCAAAACGAGCTTAGCTCTTATCTCAGAGAAAATCAGACTTATACGCACCGAACTAGATCAGTTAGACAAGACATTCTACAAAACACACTTATCATTGACGGCAACAATGTCCACATTGGATTGGGAACATATAGACAATATGACTGCCTCTTCAGCTGCTACTATGTCGACCAAATGTAAAGACAACCTGATTTCCAAATTTAACATCCTCTCCAACAAAAGACCGGACCCACACACCAAAAATCTAGACGTTAACAAAGTCGTAATTAATCGTAGTAACAGTTCCATTTCCGATGGTCTGAAATCCGTTTTACCTAAATGTCTAAACTTTGCAGTCACACCCAAACACATACCAGTTAAAAATATCATTGCCCAAGTAGACGTGGCTCTCAAGGGCCTGGGTCACATCGCTGCAGACGTAGCAAGATCTGAAATCGCTGCAACCCTCAAAAACGCTAAGATGCCAGCTAGCAACCTCAGCAAAGCAGCGCGTTTTGAATCATGTAAATTAAAAACGAGTGATGACATTGTAATCCTCTCAGCCGACAAGGGCAATGCTACTGTCATCATGGATAAAATAGAATATAACAACAAAATTAAAGAATTACTCGACGATGGCAGCTATATAAAAATAAAAAGAGATCCCATCAACAGCCTCGTCACACAAACCAACAAAATAATTTCTGATTCAACCGCATTCATTGATCAAACTAAACAATTTTCGTTGAAACCTTCTGCTGCCAGGCCACCAAGATGATACGGCTTACCAAAAATACATAAAGTAGATACACCCCTTCCTCCCATCGTCTCTACTATCAACTCCCCCACCTACAAACTGGCTCGTTTTCTGTCTGAAATCCTGCAGCCTTTCACTTGAAAAACCACCTCTGCGGTACAAAATTCTACTCACCTGGTATCGACAATCAAGGGTATTTCCCTGTCCCCAGACGATCTGCTTGTCAGTTTTGATGTAGTTTCCTTATTCACCAAAGTTCCTGTACCTGACACCATCGCAATCATTGAAGACTTGGCTCATCAAGGACTACACACTGAGGTACCCCCCTGGTGAGACACTGCTTAACCAATACATACTTCACTTGGAATGGAACTTTCTACAAATTGAGGGCACCTCAATGGGCTCCCCCCTATTTCCGGTTATAGGCAACATTTTCATGGAGAAATTTGAGACTGACGCCATCCAGACTGCCACTCTGCGCCCAACCTTATGGAAGAGGTACGTGGATGACACTTTTGTCATCTGGCCACATGGCCGGCCTGCTCTAGACCAATTCTTCGACCACATCAATTCCATACACCCAGCCATCAGATTTACCATGGAAGTCGAAAAAGATGGCAAGCTACCTTTTTTGGATGTCCTAATTAAAAGAGACCTGATGGTTCAATGAGCCACTCTGTCTACAGGAAAGCTACCCATACGGATGCTTATCTGAAACCGGATTCCCACCACCATCCATCACAGAAGAATTCTCTCATCAAGACTCTGCACCATAGAGCCCAGTGCATATCTGACCAGGAACACATAAGCAGTGAACTCAAGCACGTACACCAACCTCTTAAGGCTAATGGTTACTCCGACTATACAATCCGCAAAGCTATCACTCAAACCATGAAGAAGGACCCTCTTGATGAGCCTTTCAAAATCATCACTTTACCCTACATTTGCGGGGATCACAAAAAAAGATCTCCAAAATCTTGAAGAAACACAAGATCCAGGTCCGTTTCAACACATTACATAAAATCCGTGATCTGGTTCCGTCTGTAAAAGATGTGATTCCGGACATACAGTACCCTGGTGTCTACAAACTAAGTTGCCTCTGTGGTAGTAGTTACATTGGAGAAACCAAACGACATATCTCGGACCGCATTCGTGAACACAAAGCAGACCTTAAAGACGGTAGGACCAACACCTCGGCCGTGGCAGAGCACTGTTATAGTTCAGTAGGCTCACATGACATTGACTTCTCCAAGACAGAGGTTCTTTGCAAGTCATCTGGCTACCATGAGAGATTCGTTCTTGAGGCTATCCACATATACATATACAAACACAGAGACAATTTCAACCGAGAAGATGGATTCTGGCTTAGCAATCATTGGAAGGATTTGATAAACCATTTCGGGTCTTAATTGATTGTTCACGCTTACGGTGGGTTTCAGACAGCATACATTAATTTTCGTCTCCCCCCTCCTCTTTTCCGAACATAGATGGACTCGTCCATCTAAACAAACTGTCAAATCGCTATCCGTGGTGCTAACGTTTAAAAATAAATAAATACAAACCGCCACTTCTTTCAAATGTTCTTGCCGTTGGTTTTCACACCTGATGATGACTGCTTGTGTTGCAGTCGAAACATCGTGAGAATTTTATTGTTTTATATATATTTTATTGTTTCCCTTCAACATGACTTTACCAAAAGAACCAAGAATATGAATCACTGCAGTCACGAAAGCTTTAAATCAAAATTTAACCGCCTCTACAGGGAGGGTTTCCACATAACTTTAAGATCCTTCAACAAACTCCGGGATAAGAAGGCTCAGCTGATCGAGTTTCTCACCTTTCTGAAGAGATGCCGCGACTCTGGGGTAATACCAATCACATTTACACTGACCTCTGCTGCTGTAACTTCTTCTAATGCGAAACGAATTATTTTCAAAACTAGCTTAGCTCTTATCTCAGAGAAAATCAGACTTATACACACCGAACTAGATCAGTTAGACAAGGCACTCTACAAATCACACTTATCTTTGACGGCAACAATGTCCACATCAGATTGGGAACATGTAGACTATATGACTGTCTCTTCAGCTGCTACTATGTCGACCAAATGTAAGAACAGCCTGATTACCAAATTAAATCTCCTCTCCAATAAAAGACCGGACCCACACACCAAAAAGCTAGACGTTAACAAAGTCGTAATTAATCGCAGTAACAGTTCTATTTCCGATGGTCTGAAATCCGTTTTACCTAAAGGTCTAAACTTTGCAGTCACACCTAAACACACATCAGTTAATGATATCATTGCCCAAGTAGACGTGGCTCTCAAGGGCCTGGGTCACATTGCTAATTTCAACAGCCCTTCTAGACGATGGGTCTCTATGTGAGTCTGTGGGTCTCTAATTTCCACAGCCCTTCTAGACTATGGGTCGCTATGTGAGTCTGTGGGTCTCTAATTTCAACAGCCCTTCTAGTCTATGGGTCTCTATGTGAGTCTATGAGTCTCTAATCGCCATCGCCCTTCTAGACTATGGGTCTCTATGTGAGTCTGTGGCTCTCTAATCTCCACAGCCCTTCTAGACTATGGGTCTCTATGTGAGTCTGTGGCTCTCTAATCTCCACAGCCCTTCTAGACTATGGGTCTCTATTTGAGTCTATGAGTCTCTAATCTCCACAGCCCTTCTAGACTATGGGTCTCTATGTGAGTCTATGAGTCTCTAATCTCCACAGCCCTTCTAGACTATGGGTCTCTATGTGAGTCTGTGGCTCTCTAATCTCCACAGCCCTTCTAGACTATGGGTCTCTATGTGAGTCTGTGGCTCTCTAATCTCCACAGCCCTTCTAGACTATGGGTCTCTATGTGAGTCTGTGGCTCTCTAATCTCCACAGCCCTTCTAGACTATGGGTCTCTATGTGAGTCTGTGGTTCTCTAATCTCCACAGCCCTTCTAGACTATGGGTCTCTATGTGAGTCTGTGGCTCTCTAATCTCCACAGCCCTTCTAGACTATGGGTCTCTATGTGAGTCTGTGGCTCTCTAATCTCCACAGCCCTTCTAGACTATGGGTCTCTATGTGAGTCTGTGGCTCTCTAATCTCCACAGCCCTTCCAGACTATGGGTCTCTATGTGAGTCTGTGGCTCTCTAATCTCCACAGCCCTTCTAGACTATGGGTCTCTATGTGAGTCTGTGGCTCTCTAATCTCCACAGTCCTTCTAGACTATGGGTCTCTATGTGAGTCTGTGGCTCTCTAATCTCCACAGCCCTTCTAGACTATGGGTCTCTATGTGAGTCTGTGGCTCTCTAATCTCCACAGCCCTGCTAGACTATGGGTCTCTATGTTGGGTCTCTATGTGAGTCTGTGGCTCTCTAATCTCCA